TCAGTACATTGCATCTTATACCTTGTATATACTAGCAGGTGTTGAAAGCATATTCATATTTCTTGAAGTGCGCTGTTGAGGCTGTACAATTGTTTCTACCTTAATAATTTTAAGGCAACCTTCTTGGTGATACTACAAAAACATGGGTTTGATAATAACATTATAAGTGTTTGAAATGTGGGATCCTCACTTTGAAAGCTATTTTCTAATTTTACATGTGTTAAGTGTTAGTAAGATAATATGATCAAAGACATTTTATTGATTGCGGTGGTTGTCAGGATCAGATTTTTCTTGCATGCAGAGTACAAATGGCACCTTGCCATTTGATAGACTTTTGCTTATCAAAACTGCTACACGAAATTTGAACATCATTCCTGGCAACACCATGATTCTTTGTAATATTGATGGAGATGCAATACCTACTGTCTCACTTTGTACTGTAGGTTCAGATATGTTCCTTTGTGCATGTGTGTTTTTGTGCACCATAACTTGTAAGCTACATTCATCTTTTCTCATCTGACGAAGACAGTTACTTCTTATTTTCTCCGCGAGCATGATAATATCAAACTAATGTTGAGCTATTATCATAACTTGTAAGCTATTAGCATGATAATATCAAACTAATGTTGAGCTACAAATATCTAATTTTACTGTAGTCCACATTTTGTTGCCACCATTTGGTTGTCCTCTAGCTTATCATGTTATTGTATTCTATCTAGATGTGCTGGTGTGGACATGGCAACCCTGCCATCTGAGCTTGCACCAAAAGAATTGAGTGGTCAAGAAGCAGATCAACAAAGTAGTCAGCATACAACTTCAAGGAGTGTGAACGTGAAGAAGTCATTGCTAGTGAAACGGATGTCATCTGCTGTTAATGCTCCAAAGCCACCAACAGAGAAGCGGAGGAAGTCATCTGCTTCGAACGTGCAATTTGTGAGGTCCCCGTTACTGAATAGGATCCTAGCATCGCCAAGGATGCGCCACTCCAGAAACAAACACCAGAGGTCACCATGTGCAGGATTGTCATCTTCAACCTTACCTGATGATACAAGAATGAATGCTTCTCCTAATCTTGGCAAAGATGCAGCATCAAGGAGCGTGGATAGGATCAAGTCCTTGCTGTCGAAACGGAAGTCATCTGTTGTTAATGCTTCAAATCATTCAGAAGGAATGCAGAGGAAGTCATCTGCTTCATGTGTGCATTATGTGAGATCTCCTGTACTTAATAGAATGCTACAGTCAGCAAGGATGATCCAGTCTCCGGTACTATCTGCAAGATCATCATCTTCGTCTTCATCTGATGATACATGAATGGTTATTTCTCCTAATCTTGGCCTAGGTTAGATTTAACTTCCTGCATATTGAAGCGACCAGTTTATGTCTCAAATTTTTCTTGCTGTCTTGACTTTGTTGATTTGTTCTGTCTTGGTTAGGGTCCTATTTCTACTATCCTGGTCCTTTAGTTGAATTTTCTTGCTGCATGAGATGCCTTTAGTTACTGACTATGTATACTTTAGTAAATGCTTGCACTAATCAATACTTACATACTTATTGTATAGATGCATCAAGACCAATTAAGAGACGTAAACTTAGATCTGATGTGTGGAAAGAATTTGAGCCTATTTATGAGGGGAATCTAGTAGTACAAGCTAAATGTATTCATTGTTTGGAGCTCTTGTCTGCTACTTGAGATGATGGTAGAAGTGCTTGTCATAGGCATTTGAAAGTGTGCAAAGAAAGGACTAGAATGAACCAGTTGGTTGAAAGCATGAACACAGGACTATCCCCTGATTCACTAGCTCTGAAGAATTGGAAGTTTGACTAAGAGGTCTCACGTAACACCATGGTCAACTTTATCATATTGCAGGAGCTGCCCTTTAGTTTAGTTGACCATGCACCGTTTCAGAAATTTATTGCTACCTTAAATCCTTGGTTTACCATAGTGTCTAGAACTACAGTTGCTGAGCATATTATGAGCCCATATGAGGATCGAAGGTTAGCCCTTCGAGAAACTATCAAAAATTCAAATTCAAGGGTCTGTCTAACTGCTGATCTATGAACTTCAAATCAGAACCTAGGTTACTTGTGCATTACTTGCCACTTCATTGATAATGACTGGATGCTGCAGAAGAGAATAATAGGTTTTAGTCTTGTAGCTTTCACCCCATGATGGTTTTACTTTGTTTAATGCATTGTTGAAGTGTTTGCAAGAATGGAAGTTAGAGAACAAGGTATTTAGCATCACATTAGATAATGCAAAGAACAACAACAACATGGTTGGTTCCTTAAGGAAAAATCTTTCAGAAAGACACCTTATGCTTGGAAATGGTGATCTGCTACATATGCGTTGTGTAGCGCATGTGTTGAACCTTATTGTCAAGGAGGGATTTAAGGTGATAGATGGTGCTACTGACCGCATTCGAGATAGTGTCAAGTACATTAGAAGCTCACAAGCCCATAAATAGTGTTTCGAGGAAATCATTATACAATTAGGTATATCCTGTGAGAAGAGACCGCCTCTTGATGTTCCAACTCGGTGGAACTCAACTTATTTAATGCTGAAGTCTGCAATAGAGTATAGGGTAGTCTTTGATGTTATGGAGTCACAAGATCCTAATTACATGGACAAGCCTTCTAATACAGATTGGAACATGGCAGACCTACTTTGCAATGTGTTCAAACCCTTCTATGATGCTACAAATGTAGTTTCTGGTACATTATACCCAACAACAAACCACTGTTTCCATGTCCTATGGGAAGTTAAAGGAAAAATATAAACTTTGGAATCAAATACATATATTTCCATTGCAGTTATGGCGAGCAAAATGAAACTGAAGTTTTAGAAATACTGGGACATATGCTTGTTGCAGATATGTGTTCCAGTAGTTCTAGATCCTAGGTTTAAGCTTAGTTTTGTATCATTTCGTTTGGATGCTAGTTTTGGTGATAAAGGTCCAGCATACACTGAAATGGTAAAGGCCACATTGCAAAATCTATTTTCTACATATTCATCAATGGCACCTGATTTAAACTACTCACAACCAGAGCCCAATGATGGAAGTATTGATGAAGATGACTGCTGGGCAGACTTTGAACAACATCTTGCAGCACAAAAAAGGAAGAGAGTGAAAAGTGCACATATCTGCAAGATGATCTTTTCCCTCGACAAAAGAAATTTGATATTCTGCAGTGGTGGGTGATGCATTCTACAAAGTATCCTATGGTTTCTCGTATGGCAAGGGATGTGTTTGCAGCACCCGCATCGACTGTAGCTTCTAAATCTGCATTTTCCACTAGTGGAAGAATTGTTAGTGACTACAGAAGCCAACTAACAAGCAAGAAAGTTCAAGCCTTAGTATGCCTGCAGGATTGGTTGAGAGCAGAAGGTACATTTTCTTTGAATTGTACAAAGTAGCATATTGTTAGTTTGAGTATTGTTTTTTGAGCAGTAACGACACCTTATAACTCATTACTCGCTCTTGTTTCTGGTTTATCAGATGTTAAATTATCAGAAGATGATATTGGACATGGTGATGATATTTGAGGAAAGGAGGTGTCAGGTTTAGCAAAGAAGGGGTGCAAGACAGGGAGAACTGGAGAAGAAAATGACATTTTTGTCTTTGTAGATATAGAACTCCTTTCAGTTCAGCATTTCAACTTTATTTATGTTACTGTCTTTTGGAATTCTTAAATATTTGGTCCTAGATTATTGCAGTGGGGGCATGGCTCCTTTTCCAGATCTTGTTCTTGTCATCATAAGTTTAGCAGGACTTTGGTTAGTGATGTGGATGTAGAAGCTACATCATGTCATTCCACAAGCTGGTAAAATTTTTGTCAATGGTTGTTGGGTTGGAATTCATAGGAACCCTGACCTATTGGTTAAGACTCTTAGGCATTTAAGAAGACAGGTTTGTTCCATGCTATACTTTCTAATTGCAGGCAGAAAGACAAATTAGATGAGTCACAAAAAAAGTTCTTTTAAAAATCCCTACCACTATTTATTACCCACTCACATGTATGTATGTATGTATATATATATATGTATATATATATATGACTGATTGAGGTAATTGTTTTTAACAATGGTGTTCGGTATGCAATTCAAACTTCTTTTCATGACACAAGTATCTACTGGAATTTTCATTTACTTTGGTAGGTTATACATAGACAGGTAACATTGCATATTATTTAAGGGTGTAGTTCAGTGGGCCTTAAGATCTCAAATTTGCTTGGTTTTCATTTTCAGATTGATGTCAACACTGAAGTTGGCGTGGTTCGTCATATCCGTCTTAAAGAACTTCGACTCTACACGGATTATGGACGCTGCAGTCGTCCATTGTTTATTGTTGAGGGTCGAGGCTGCTCATCAAGAAGGCGCATATCCGAGCTTTGCAACAAAGGGTCCGACATTGATCAACATGTGCTGGCTTCCACTTAACTTTACATGTGCATAATTTTTCTTATAAGCTTCTTCTATCCTTTTGTCCACTTATCCGTGAGACTCTCGATGAAGGCCGGCATGAATTGGTCTCAAAAGGATTTATAGAATACATAGATATCAAGAAGAGGAGACTACCATGATCTCCATGACCATAAGTGTAAGTGGGATATGCATGTGTACCGATTGAACATATTCGAGGCCCTTGTGTATGAAAGGATTTTGTCTATACCGCTCGGATATTCCATGGAATCCTAGTATAGCTTTGCCTTTTTTCCTTCTATATATTCACCTTCACTTCATCGATGCCAATGAAACAATTTCAGGACCTTCAAAATGCAAGGCACAACCCAGAGGATGCTTACTCTGAAACTTACACACATTGTGAGATTCATCCTTCATTGATACTTGGTGTTTGTGCGTCGATTATTCCTTTTCCCGACCACAACCAGTGAACCATTCACTTCTGTGGGTTTCAGCTTGTATAATATTTTCCCCCCCGACAAGGTCTAATTCTTCCCATTGATAATGCAACACACCTCGTAATACATATCATGCCGCTATGGGAAAGCAAGCCATGGGAATTTATGTCACCAATTACCGCTTAAGGATGGTGAGTACACTATTTGTTTGATTTTCTTCACATGTTGATATAGGTCTGAACCTTATCAATCTACCATCATGATCTAGGACACATGTTCTATACTACCCACAAAAGCCTCTAGTTACTATTTGTGCTATGGAACATTTGCACTTCAGACAGTTACTAGCTGGTATTGTGAGTGAGCAATTTGCCCTTAACTTCAGGGTGCTTTCTACATGTCATATTTCCTTTCTGTTCTATCCATTGATTATCAATATTATTTTGGTGATTTGGGTGCAGAATGCAATTGTTGCTATCGCTTATTATTCTGGATATAATCAAGAAGATTCAGTTATTATGAATCAATCTTCCATAGATCGTGGATTCTTCCAATCACTATTTTTCCGCTCTTACAGGTATAGCGCAAATTGTAAGCTGGGCTTCCATGAAGTAGTCTAGTGCTTAAATTGCTTTTAGTCTGATGATTTAAACTTCATATATGCAGAGATGAGGAAAAGAAGATGGGTACACTTGTCAAAGAGGAATTTGGTCGTCCAAAAAGGGAAAATACTATGGTGTGTTTTCAAAATTGTATTACAGTTTTCTCTTTTCTTCTCACGAGGCTAATATTCTAATAACTTTTCCTATAGGGAATGCGCCATGGGTCATATGATAAACTAGATGATGATGGCCTTTCACCACCTGTGAGTAGAGGACTTCATCTATGCAGATTTATCTTTATCAGGGGTAATGCTGATTGCATATGTTTAATTCATGTAATGTATCAGGGAACAAGGGTCTCAGCGGAAGATGTCGTTATTGGGAAGACATCTCCTATTCCACATGATGACGCTCAAGGGCAAGCTTCTAGATACTCGAAGCGTGACCATAGTACTTCTCTGTGTCATAGTGAAAGTGGCATGATAGATCAGGTTCGTAGTTTCTCACCTTCCTATATCAATAGGTGGTTTGTGATGGGCTTGGAACTTTACCAACAAGCTACTAAGGCTATGGTATTTTGTATAGGTTCTGTTAACAACAAATGCAGATGGTCTAAGATTTGTCAAGGTTAGGATGCGATCTGTTCGCATACCACAAATTGCAGATAAGTTTAGCAATAGGCATGGGCAAAAAGGAAATGTTGGGATGACTTACACTCAAGAGGATATGCCATGGACAATCAAAGGTATCACACCCGATATTATTGTGAATCCACATGCTATTCCATCCCGTATGACTATTGGGCAGCTGATTGAGTTTGTTGTCTTGTGGGTCTTACGGGTTTTGCATACAAGTTTGTTGTGTCCACGAAACACTTGTTCACAAGATCCGCAGCTTTGTGGCAAGCCGCAAGCCCGCTAATAAACTTTGCGGCAAGCGAGGCGGGTTAGCAGCCGGCCGTGAACGAGCCCGCCTGCAAGTTGAGTATTAATCAATTTAGTATTTAACAATATATTGAAAAACATGTGATATGGTAAACCTCGCTATTAACTTATAGATCATGTCAAAATGAATCTAACGCAACTTACATGAAACAAAACGGAATTAAAATGAAGAAACAACGGAGATATTATGAACTAGTGGCAATTTTGTAATTACCTCGTCTTCTTCCTCTATCCATCTCACGTGACCTTTCAATAGGAACAAGAGGGAGGGAGCTTGGTTGCAGGGGGCTGGGGGAGGCTGACTGATGGTGGCACATGCGAGACGTTGGAAACGACGTAGAAGTGAAAAGAGGGAAAAATCTAATTTACTACCTTAGGAATTCCCAAACTAGGGGTCCCCTTACGGTAGTTCTGGTGTGCTTTGGCTAAGGGGCTGGTACAAACATATAGGGAGGAGAACTCCTCATATATACATCAACTAGAAATATGGTACTAATTAATGTTGCACCCTCTACCTTTACTAATGGGCCTAAATAATGATTAAAGCCTATTAGTAAATAAATGCATGTGCCTTTGAGATTTATTACGATTATTACACATGGACTTTGAGGGTTGGTGGGAAAATGAGATATTTTATTATTTTTAGAATTAATTAATTTTGGGATTAAAATAATTCTAGAAAAGTCCATAATTGATATTTAAGCCACGAAAAATACTTCAAAAGCTCCCAAAATTCGAGAAAAATTCTCAGAGACATTTTACAACATGAGGGATCTAAATAAAGTATTTAGAGATCATGAAAAGATATTTTGGAGCATCTAAAAATTAGATTATGCTCATAGAAAAATAGGAAAAGGTTCCAGAAAAAGCGATAAAAATTCTCAGGAAGTTTTGAGAGATAAGTTAATGAATAAGAAACTCAAAGGAATGATTTAGAGAAGATGAAGAGGATCTTGGAAAATTCTGAACGAAAAGATTAGGATCGAGAAAGCAGGAATTTGATTATAGAAAAAGATAGAGATGAGCCAGAGATAGATAAACGGCTTACTAAACGCGTTTTGAAAATTTTACTCACTCATTACACTAAGTCACACAACAAGCAAACATTACATCAAGCAAAACCCATCAAATTAATTTGGAAAATATTGAAAATTCATTTTTTTCTATAACTAAATTTACACTACCTTAAACTAAACTTGGGAAATTTTATATCAACATTGAAGTTATTTATTTGATTTAGTGTTGGCTATGCACAACCTAAAATCAGAATTTTTGGGGTGTGATAGAGCATGATGCGAATAGCTCGCGTCTAGCTAGTATGCTTCCTTCTCTTCATCCCTGATGGAGATGCACGCCCTAGTCTTCCAATAAGTGTCCTCCAGAGGGTGCGTATATTCTTAGCAGACATACTCCACAATTGCGTCCCAATCAGCGTAGAAGGTCTGAAGCATCCCCATAAGTCAGTGGTGCGAAACGAAGGATTCACACCCCGACTTGTACCAGATATTTGTAGTCCATCCCATGGCAGGGGTAGGCTGATCTTCTTGAATGGCGTCCTCCTCCTCATCATCAAACAATACAACGACCTCCACTTCTTCGGGTTCTTCTTCTTCGGGCTCTTCCTGGAGTGGCTCAGGCGTAGGTAAAATAAGCATAAAGTTTAGCAATTAACAAGAGTGGAGTAGTAAGCATGAAATGAGGGATGCAAAAGAGGCAAAAACAACCATTACTAACTAGGCTTGCGTCCTACAGTCAACACAACTCTGATACCAATTTATCACACCCGATTTTTAACGATAAAATAGGATGCATAATCTTATGGGCGCCCAGAGATCCGTCACACATAAGTCGACAAATTATAGATAGTATCATCACAAGTGTTTATTACATCACGTATAATATGATAGAGTCTACACATAAATGTAGTGGAAGTATAAAGAAAAATCACTCGCGGAAGCTCCATATAACAGGGACATCAACTGGTTGACCACAAGTCTAGTAATCCTTAGGAAAGTCATCATTACCATAGCAATCTGTTACTCATCCAGGATTTTTATCCAAATAATGAAAATAAACAAGCGTAAGTACACATCATACTCCACAAGTGTAACATGGGGTTCATAAGGATTAAAGGCTTGACACAGGTTTAACAGTATTTAGCTTTTAGTTGTCATAATCCCAATTAAAACACATGATCAATATAAATATGAATAATGAATAGCATAAATGGATAATTAATAGTGATCATCTATTCCATAAGGGTCCAAGGCCGCTCGTGACCGTGAACATGGCTAATATACCAGTTTTATACTCTGCAGAGGTTGTAAACTTTCACCGTGAGTCGTGATTTATCCTTTTCGTTCAAGGCAGCCAACCTGTTGACCCACTACCAAGGAAGGTCGGTAGGGTTCACTATGAAGCCTTTCAAAGGTTCGTCTAACAAGTTAGGGCTGCTAGATTCACTTGGCAAACAGATGTAGAGCTCCCCTTCCCGATGGCACAATGACGCGTAGCATATACACATGGGGACAGAGGCCGCACCATACCTGAATCGGCAAGCCATTCTTGTGCCACAAAGGTAACCACTAACAAGCTAGAAAAGGTCCTCTTACTGAGCTAAAGCCAGAGCCATATAGCCCTCACAGCTGTACTGTAAGTCCCGGATGTTCGCTTATAGATAAGTCCTTAGAGAGAGGAATCTGAAGCATTTAGAAAGTAGATAAACACTCTAGCCCACTTTTTCCAAGTTGCTAAAAAGTCATGTTTTAATGATTATTGCATATACCATTAGTCAAGTTACTAGATCATGGTTTAGTTGAGCACTAGCAAAGCCACCCAATGCATATCCCATAGGAGTCAAGGCATCAGTACAATTCCAGGGAATCCCTATTAAGATGACACATGCAATATGAGTTAAATGTATTAAAGTTGATAGGAAACAAGGATGATCCCATGCTATACTTGCCTTGAACAAAGTGTTCCTACTGATCCTGCTCGTCAAAGTAGTACACTTGATCACCCACGAATTGCTCACCGTCTATACTCGATAATCACAACAACATACAAGCATCTAGAAGCAATCATGCATATCAAACAAAGGCTATAGATTAGAACAGTACACCAATCAGCATAAAATCAAGATGAAAAGTTTGTAAAACGACGTCTCGCTATGAACACACAGACACAGAAATTACGAAAATCGGAGCTAAAACGAAGAAGTTATGAATTACACAAGATTTCCTTTAATAAGATAATAGATTAAATCTAACCTCGAATTTCAAAAGTTGAAAACATACTTAACAGTAATATAAACATGTAGATTACTAAATTACAAATCTAACACAACTTGAACGGATCAAATCGGAGTTAAAACGAAGTTCTTATGAGCAAAACAAAATCGGTGGCAAATATGTAAATAGATGGATTTAATTCGAATTGAAATAAATCAAAATTGGGATTTTGAATCTGGAGTGGACTGCGGGTTTAAAATTAGCAAACTAGAGGGGCTCTTATGCAAAATTTCCAGCTGAAGGGGTATTGGCCGATCTGGACCGTTAGATCTAAGTTGAACGGTGGGGATTAGATCTAGCAGGTGAGAGAGAAACCGGCCGGCCGGAATAGAGTCGAGCACGGCGGTCCACCATTGCTAGCAAGGAGAACCTTGCCAACGCACATGAATCAAGGCCTATTGGCCACGGCAGAGTGAACCGAGAGGTCGGGAAGCAAGAGGAGGCGATGGCGAACTCAGCCAAGGGTTTTTTTTCCAGCGGACGAAGACGGGACTGCGGCGGCGCTTAGGGTTCGAGCTGCGGTGACTCAGGACGAGGCAGCGACTTGCTCCGAGGCTCGATGGGGAGGCGGCGGTCGTCGAGGAGTCGGTATTTAAAGTCGGGGAGACGTGCAGGGCAAGCCAAATCAGGCTGAATTGGGGGCGGCGCGGACTCCGGTGGCGGCGGAGAGAGTCCGAGTCGGACACGTTGGCGAGGAAGAGGACGGGTGACAAGCGGGTCCCACAAGTCAGCGATAGGAGAGGCGTGGGAGAGAGGGGCGGCTGCACGGGCGCTGCTGGCTGGGCCGGCCCAAGTGAAACTGGGCCGCTGTGGGAGAGAGGGAAGCGGGGAAGGAAGGGAAAAGAAGTAGGCCGCCTGCTGCGGTAGGGGAGCTGGGCCAAAAAGGAGAAGGAGATGAAGAATTCTTCTTTTTTAATTTCATTTTGAAATTCAAATTCAATTCAAATTTAAATCTTTTTGAAATTTTGATCAAACCCAACCATCACAAATAAATATGCAGCAGCATGTATGCACAATAGCTAGACCTTATAATTGATTTTAATTTTAACAAAGTTATTATTTTTCTAAATCTAAATGCTCACAAAATACATAATTAAATCAAATTTACCTATTTTAAATTGATGCAAGTTTTAGGGTGTTATAATATATAAATATTTGGATAAATATATTCAGCAATAAATGAAACAAATGGTATGCTATGTAAAGAAATAAACATCAACCTACAGGGCACTAACATGCGAGAACAACGTAAAGGATACACGATTTGTAGTTTCATATCACATAAATTTTACCACCCAAATGGTCTACATATACTTCTTTTAAGTGTTTCATATTGCAGACTACTAATAAGCCTATTTACCAACTGTGTGCTTCACATGCTGCTAGTAAATGACCAATGCAATTGTCAGATAGGAACTAGTACTGGTATATTGTGAAGAACACAGAAAATTCAGCAAGTGATAAAATACAATTCTTAGATTTGGTCAAGAAATAATGGACAAGATCTGTGACATTGTAAGGTAATAATGTGGCCATCATATTTAAAAAACAAATCCAATGACTCAAAAAAAATTTAGAACT